AAATAAATAAATAAATAAATAAATAAAATCTTAAAAAAAAAAAAAAAGGCAGCAAATCCTTTGGGAGGCTGGCCTTTTCGGCACACTTGAAAGTCAAAGCTCGCAGCTGTGCATGGTAATACCACTCAAGGTTGCCCGATATTTTGCTATAGAACATAGAACTTGGTGGCCTCTCAGATTGCAGAGAGTGCACACGAGGGAGAGGAAGGTCTACTTGCCAGTGCTGGGTCTGCAGATGTACAGAGTGGGGCTTTGCTAAAACGGAGGCGACCTGTAATCTGTGAGCATGCTGAGCAGCTCTGAATAGGTTTACTTTCTCTCTGCCCAGACAAAGGCTACTGCTTAAGAGGGCCCTTTCCTTTCTGTACGGAAGCAATTCATGCAGGTCAGCCACCAAAAGGCCCCATATCGGAGCATTTAAAACCATGCATCAAATTTGTCCAAGCCTGTGATAGCCACTCTTCTTGCCAGGTTTTTGTTTGCCAACATTCAGAAAAGGGGGTGGAGGGAGGGTGGGGAAGGTCCAACGGAGAAATGCCTCCCATGAAAGCGGCCTTCTGCTCATGTGCCGAATAAGAAGGTTTGTGAGAAGGGGTTTAATGAGGTCTCTCTTCACAGTTTTAAAGCTGGAACAAATTAGGGGGAGCTTAAGAAAGCAAATCAGCCTCAAGAGAATTCTCTCCTTTACTGACACCCCTAAAACACTAGATTTTTCTATGAAATGTTAGATGCCAGTTGACTCAAAAAAAGCCTAGGCATGAATTAAGGAATAAAAGCAAAGTACAAACAAAACAAAACAAAACAAAACAACCAAACCCAGAAACAAAACAAAACAAAACACAAAAAACCCAAACTCTTGAAATCTGGCCAAGTTTACACTTTTATTCTCAAGCCAAAAGTCTTACATTAACACTGAAGTACCACTGTATTTTCCCCAATCAATACCATTAAGCCAGTAGGGAAATGTAATAGAAAGAATCCAGGAGCGATGGTTACAGAAGTGGAAGACAGAACGGAAAAGAATGAAATCTGACGATCCCAACACTGACAACCATGTCAAATACTGAACCTTCTAGGTCCTCAAGGCAAGGTGAATTTAAGGGAAAAAAAAAAAAAAGGCGTATCTCCTTTCCAACTTAACCCACATCAATGGAAAGCAGAGGATGTGTTTCTCACTGCCACAGTACACTGTTAAGAAACTGTTTTAGAGGGACACAAAAAGAGTAACATGAAATGTACAGTCTGGGAGTCGGTCCCCACAACATGACTGGTATCCACTGGTTCTCTCTTGTGGGCTCTAAAAACCTATTCCTCACTTTGAAGGACATGGAGAACTTGCAAAGGCCTCTGAGGAAAGCACTCAGGGCAAGTAAAGAGATGGGAACAGCAATGTAGGAGGGGAGGAACCTGGGTCACTTAGCCAAGGAAGATAGTGCTGAGGGTTGGTTTAATGCAGGTTCAGGGTGGGTGTGCACGAAACCTTCCAAGTGCAGGTGAGTGCTGATTTGTGACAAGGTCCAGCTTGTCTTTTTGGACTTTCCCTCACAGGTGATTCATTAATGGCAGCATGCCATCCAATCTGTCTTCTTAGAAGTAAATGCAAGTTAGACGGTTCATGACGTCTTTGGCCTCTCCTGAGATAACCTGGACCAGACCCAAGGTCATGGCTTCTGGCCCAGTTTCTAAGACACTTAAGTCTTCACCAGAACGTCTAGGGAGGGAACCAAAGAAACCATACCAACGACACAAAGGTCCTTCTAGGAAAAGGCCAGAAGTAGTATTTTCCTTGGGGAAAATTTTAGACATAATTTAAAGTAATGATAAAGAGAGACTAAAGTGATGGTTACTCTGGACTTCAAAAAAATGGCACGAAAAATGAACGCCCTCTACTAGCTCCAGATTTTCTGGCATCGAACACCTGACACTGCAAAGGGAAGCTGTAGGGATTCAAAAGGGAAGTATCTTTGCCTAAGGGGTTCTGTAAATTGATGAGTCTTGTCAAACAAATTAGCTCACCATTACTGCCCTTCTGGCTAAGCGGTACAAACTCTAGTTATTTCCGCGAGAAGAGGAGGATGTTCATCATCTTTGATCCACTGTGTTCTGGGCAACCTTAAAAGTTCTGGTAGCTGAGATGGCATGCACATTTCAAAAAAGACGGCCAAGCACATTATCACAGAAAGGAAAGCTGGGAATCACTAAGTCCACTCTGAGATGTGTAGGAGTCTTTTCGGGCTGCGCTTAAGAGACAGTATTATCATTCCTGTCTCCCCAAAGATGCCTGAAGCTCAAAAACACTTGGGTGTCTCCAACAGTTTAATTGCTTTAGTAGGTCCCTTGTTAGATAGTTACAGAAAAACTCTGGGCGTTATCACTTGCCCTTCCTAGCATCCACATATGCCAGATGGTGAAATCGTTCCTGAATACGTCTGAGAAACCACAGCTTGGAGGCACAGCCATGTGTGTACACAAGGAGTCCCTGTTTCATACAGATCTCTGTTAAGCAGCAATTAAAACTTGAGCAAGCCAACGTACCTACTACGATGCTCATAGCTGCCCTTACACCGGAACTTGTGTGCTGGGAAAACGGTGAAAATCCCTTCTTCCGAGCTGAAATACTGCCACTTAATTCCAGGGTTGGATTTCAGGTTGTCTGCAAGAACTGGAGGAGTGGGGAAAAGGAAACATAACCACTAAATCCACAGGTGCAGGCAGGCCCAGTTCCTTCGGCATCTGTTCTGCATAAACTGCTTGTAGTACGAAGAAATCCCACTAGATCGAAGGCTGTAAATTTTCCACTAAACATTTTCTCTCTGTCCCTTAAAAAAATACCCGTGAATAGAAAAATATAATGAATGTTTCAGTCAAGAAGAAACTATTATTCTTAACATCGTATGGTGACACTCTATGTCCTGGAATATTTTTTTTTTCCAGCACGAATGATTCATTTGCACTCAGCTCTCCCCTCAGGAGGCTGGTCCCCACTGGACCAGTTTACACTTGCTGGCTTGGAGAACATTTTCTAGTTGCAGAGAACAGTGCCGCTAAGAGGCCGGGTCTCCAGAGGAACTAGACCTGTGACCTTGACCTTGTTCACTCCACAATGAGAAAATCAGCATAGATGGTACCTGAAAGGCAGAACCAAGATCACTCAGCAAGAGCTCCTGGAATGATTCCAATGTGCCAGCAGTGGGACAGAGGCTTTCCTTCGTGGTTGCTCATTTAACCCATGAAACAACCATAGGACGAAGGTAGTATGATTATTCCCTACTTTGGAGTTTGGAAAATACACTTAGAGAGCTTAAGTGACTTGCCTAAGGTTTCATCAGTAAATGACCAAGTTGGGATTCCAGCCTAGCTGTGCTGGTTCCTAGGTTCTTACCATCATGCAGTACTGCCTCCCTGGCATATACATGGTATCCCTGCCACTGAGCTGTGGCAGGAGGGGCAGCCCCTTGCCAGGGGCAATTCTGTCCCCAAACCTCCATGAAGTCTTACCCTCACCCACAAGCAGAGTCCTCTCCCTTCTCTGATGCCCTTCCACTCTGTTCCCACACCGTATTCCGTTATGAACCATGCACTATTTGCTGTGTCCTGCTCTACATGCTGCAAGATCTACACAGCTGAGCAAAAGACAAGCCTTATTGCGATAACCGATACACCAGAAGACTTAGAGAGTGGGAAATGGGACAGAAAGCAATTCGGGGAAGAAGTCTGAGTGAAGGCAAAAGGCAAGTGTGAGGTACATTTGGTAAGGTACAGAAAGCTCTGAACGCCACGCAGCCATCCTTGAGTCTGGCTCGGAGGTCGGCTGATGTCCGCCAGGGCTGCCCAGGAAAGGACCCTGGCCTTGCCGGCCATGCGGGCTCTGTCTTGACCCACCCAACTCTGCTGCTACCATGCAAAAGCAGCCCCGGACATCTGTGGGTGTGCGGGTGCGCCAACGACAGTGTATTTGCAAACGTCAGCGGCAAGCTGGATTTGGTCAGTGGTCTTCGACATGGGCATTCGTCCTCTGAACACACCAGGCGAAATACACCACACGGGGACTTGAAGTGTGTCCGGTGCCTCCTCCAGCAGCTACCCTGCCAGATGCACACGGAGAAAGGGTAGCCTATTTTTATCCTCACAAAAATCCTAGAAGTAACAAAGCATCATTTCCGAGTTATGGACACAGAAGCTGGCTCCGACTTTTCTGGGCTCCCTGAGGTTTCACAGTGGACAGGAAGGCAGTCAAGCACGTAGGGTGTGTGACCGAGACGCGGGTCCCCACTCCACTCGGCCAGGCAACCTTATCAAGGTCATTGCTTGGACCAGGGCAACCACACCCTCCCGAGACCTCTGGCTGATGTGATTTGCACATAAACATGGAGGCAGCTTTTTCTCTGGGGGTCAAAGCCTTAAACTTGCGGTGGTGTTAGCACCGCTCTTCAGGCAGCTCTGCCAAGCCTGCGAGAAACAGGCAAATGCTGCCTTTGGAAGTAAAGCTCAATGACTTCATTTAGAAGTAACATCTGTAACAATAAACAGGCTACAGTGAGACTATTAAAAGGGGGAGCCAATGAGAGCAAGAATGTTTTAAAAATAAATCAGAATTCATACAGTGCATGATACATTTAGTCTCACCACAAAAGATCATTCTGGTTCCTTATAATCATTCCAGCACCAGAGCATTTAAGTGTCAGGCAAGGTTCCTCAAACTCTCCTGCTGAGAACTCCTTTGGCATCTGATTAAATTTCATCCATCATTCGGTACTAGCAGAAGATGATGGATACGATGGTAATGAGGACCCCAGGGCCCAGAAGCAATCTATCATGGCAGTGTGCACCCCGAGCGGGCCCCTCTCTGACCTAGACGTGGAGGTGAAGGACAGCCCTATTTTCCACACAGGCAAAGGCAATGCAGAGGCGGCTTCCCCCAGTCCTAGGAGTCAGTGAGGTGTTCGGGCCACTGGATAACTTGGGCTGGGGTCCTGCATGCTTACTCTCCTCAGCAATGCTGGACACCATCCAGGAAAAGGCTGGGCATACGTCCAACCTGTCAGCCCCTGATGCATAGCATTAAGCTTTAGGCTATCAGTGGGTAGGGCCTGTATTTGTCTCCCCTGCTCCACATACCTACCTCAGACAGATACACATGAAGGTGGCAATGAATGGTTTCTTCTTCACTGGAGCTCATCCCCAGATGGAAGCCACCACACCCTCTGAAACCCTCCAGCATCTTAACCTCTCCCACCTTCTAGTTAATGTTATTGTTGTTCTGGGCAACTTTTCCCTCTTCCATCCCTAGATTCTGAGATCCTTGAGGGTGAGATCTGGGCTTGGGTCACCCCTGCGCCCAGGGCAGAGGTGTTCAGTTCTCTTCAGGTCATGGCACAGGCTCCGTGAGAGCTGCAGGGACACATGGGCTGGGAGGGTCTGCTCAGAAGTACTCTTTCTCAACCATTAGACTTGTGTTTAATAAATTATAAAATCTTAGTCTCTTCTAATGCTAAATCCAATTAAAAATAAATAGGGTGACTCAATATAAAACAGTGATAATATTTTTTTTAATTTGTCAGAGCGAGCGAGTGAGAAAGAGCTCACAAGCAGGGAGAGTCGCAGGCAGAGGGAGAGGGAGAAGCAGGCTCTCCACTGAGCAGGGAACCCCATGTGGGACTCGATCCCAGGATGCTGGGACCCGAGCCAAAGGCAGATGCTTAATGACTGAGCCACTGAGGCATCCAGAGATCAATGATAATTCTAAATAGCTTTTAAGGGGCGCCTGGGTGGCTCAGTGGGTTAAGCCTCTGCCTTCAGCTCAAGTCATGATCTCAGGGTCCTGGGATCGAGCCCCGCATCGGGCTCTCTGCTCAGCGGGGAGCCTGCTGCCCCCACCTCCGTCTGCCTCTCTGCCTGCTTGTGATCTCTCTGTGTCAAATAAATAAATAAAATCTTTTTAAAAAAATAGGTTTTAAAATGATTGACACTCCGTTCTCTCAACACCACTGCCAATACAACAGGTACAGAAACAGGTAAGTGGACAGAGAAAAGGCTTGCCTGTCAGATGGTTTTAGGGGACTATCTATATCAAAATCAATTGTATATGTTATACATGTGAAGTTTACTGACATGTGAAGTTTACTGCTTATCAACTACGCCTCAATAAAGCTGATTTGATAGAACAGTGAAACTTACTGAGCACCATATAAACTAGTTCTATACATGGTATGACGCCTTTTCATAATTACCTCATGAGTTTGTTATTATACCCACTTTACAGATGCAGAACTCAACTTGCTCAAGGCCCAAGTCATGATTTGATCAAGGTATCTCTGCCTCCAAAGCCCTTGCTCTTTCCAGAACACTACAGGGCCTCCACAAGGTCACTAAATACGTGTTGAATGAATTAGCAATCAATAGATAAAAAAACACACCAGTTATTTCTTGAGAGGCAGAGTAAACATATACATTTGTATATTTCCATCAAAATGATCAGTTGCATTAGTTTGTAAAGACACAGTGTGAAGAAATGCAATTAAGAGGACACTTGACAGAAAGAAAGGCTATAGCAATTGAACTAAGGCAGAGGCTAAAGCAAGCATCTAATCTTGTGAGAAAAAACAAATGGCTGAACTGCTAATACTGGCAGGCACCAGCTGACAGTCCAATGTCATGGGGTTTCACCACTGACCCCACAGGCTGGCTTACCTGGAAAATGGCACGCACACTGTAGCTCAGAAGACAGAGTCAAGTTAAATAAAGCACTCATGACTGAGTAACACCGAAACATAGAAAGCATATTTTACATAATAGAAGGAGTTTTTATGTGACTGTGAAACTATATACCTGAGGCCTCTTCATTAGTCTGGAGGTGTTTAACAGATTGGAGGGAGCGTTCACTGTCCATGTGAATAAACATAAGAAAGCCAGTTGGACACAGGCCCAATGTGGCTTTGCACTTTCTATTTAATTCGGGTTGGCACTTCGGCACTGGAAGAAGAGCCTGATAAATTGGGATGGACCGGGAATAGGAAGCCTAGGTTTTGGTCCCATTTCTAAGCCTGACAAGCTCTCTGACCTTACATGGACTCACCATATAGCATCTGAAGGCATCTTTCTAAAATGGAAGTCAAATCCCACCACTGCTTTGCTTGTAACCCTTCAAAGGTTTCACACTGCACCCCAGCTAGCATTAAATCCAAGCCCTATAAGGCCTGGCACCATTTGGCCCCTGCTACGCACCAACCTCACTTTCACCCTCTTTAACCCACTACGCTGTAGGTCAAGGGCAACCTCGTTCAGTTCCGCAAACATGCCAAGCTCTCCACACAAGGGGATCCTCAGACCTGAAATAATTCTGTTCAACTTCTCGGAGACCCCTTCCCTGACTACCCTTGGTTATTTATCCTCTCTAACAGAGCCCAGCATTTTCCGTCACAGCAAAAATTGGTAATGGTCAGTGTACTGACTTCTGTGGCCATGGCTCACGTCTCTCATGCAGACTTGCTGCAAGCTCCATGAGGGCAGGAGCCAAACCCAAAGCCAAATTCACCACATTCCCAAAGCCTGGTGCATGCCTGACAAGTCAGTGAAAGGTCAGTGAGTCAGCGCCTGCCAGACAAGCCAGTGAATGACTTTGGTTAGCCAAGGCTCGTCACCCCTGTCCCCCGTGAGAGTTCA